TACATGTAGTTATTGCAGTTTGAGTATCATGTCATGTTGCCTGATGTCAAAGCATTAGGTGATTTATTTTCCAAATAAAGTAAAGCAGTGCAAGTAATAAAACTCTGTATTGTCTGTCTGTTCAGTTGTCACACATCAAGTGGATGACACTGGAGCAAATCAGAAATGACACAGATAATGCACTTTGTCTCAGCTGACTTGTGATACTTCCTTTTTACTTTCACTTTGTTGTGGTGAAAGAGACTTTGACCTTGGTTCTTGTGTCAGATCTCTGACATCCAAACTGGGCTGTAGAGCCTGGGCGTATTTCCTTGGCTGTGGCCAGTTAGCTCTTTGTGACTCAGGCTTCAGCTGGTGAAGGAAAAGCAAGATGAAAACATCATCAGGCAGAAGTTCTGCTCCTGGGCTCCACCTCATCTCTACCACTCCTGTCCTCTTCCCTAACTGGGTGTTAACCCAGTACAGAATTCTAGTCCAGTGAGTTATACCCCTGAACATTAATGAGGGGAGAGCATGGGGCAAAGCACACTAGAGAGATCATATATCTATCTGTAGTTGTGACCAGAGAAGCTTCCAGAAGGAGGGTCATGTTGAACACGGTTTGGAAAGAGCATGTTCTAGTCAGAGAGGAACAGTTGGTGTGAGGGCTGATGTTAATGCCAGCAAGATGTGCATGTGTGGGGAAAGATTTGTGCTGTTCAAGCAGGAGCCACAGAAAAGGTTATAGTAGGAATAAGTGGTAGAACAACAGTGAAAAGAATGCCTTGTAAATACAATCTTGGAAGACTGGACTTAATAGAGAGGAGGAAACTGCAGGTCTGATTGGGAGTGTGTGTGTGTGTGTGTGTGTGTGTGTGTGTGTGTTTCGGTCTGTCTGTCTTTTTAAGAGTTGATGTAAGTATCATTTTCCAGAAGGAGGGCAGAGAGCACTCACACTTCTGTTTTCTCATGCAATGCAGTAGTCAAGAAGAATGTGATTTAGGGCTTATCCTGCTTCCAGAAAAGACATCACTCTCTGATGGCTGCTGGGTGAATTTGAATGAGAGCTATGAGGATCTCATTGTTTAGAGTTACCAATTTTCTGGCTCAGGAGGGTGGTCCAGGAAATATGGTAGGTGGCTGGCCCTGGATATGCAACATTTGTAAAGGGTAGGAACCTACTAGATAGAGGTCAAGTGTGGACAAGGTTCTAAGTGTCCAAGTGGCAACATGTGAAACTCTCACTTTCTTTAGGGTTTCCATCACACCCAGAGTAACAGCCAAAGTCCTCACAGTGACTCTCAGACCTGACATGAAGGATCTGGCTTCCTGCTTTCTCTCCGACCTCATCCCCTACTGCTTCCCCCTCACTCACTATGTCCTGGTCCCCCAGGCCTCCTTTGTTATTCCTCAAAAACAGCCAACTACCACTTCACACCCATTAGGATGGCTGCTATTAAAAAACAAAGGATATGGAGTATTGGAGAGGATGTGGAGCAACTGAGATTCTTCTGCATTGCTGGTGGGAATGAAAAATGGTACAAGCGCTATTGAAAACAGTATGGTGATTTTTAAAAAAATATATTAAATATGCAATTACCATATGACCCAACAATCCTATTTCTGGGTATATATCCCACAGAATTGAAAGCAGGGACTCAAAAAGATTTTGTATACCCATATTCATAACAGCATTATTCCCAAATTCTGAAATGTGAAACAACCTACATGACCATCAATGGATGAATGGACAAACAAGATGTAGGATATATACACAATGGAATATTATTTAGCCTAAAAGAGGAAGGTCATTCTCTATATGCTACAACATGACTGAACCTTGAGACATTATGCTAAGTGAAATAAGCAGGTCACAAAGGGCAGTATTGTAGGATTCCACTTATATGAGTTACCAAGAGTAGTTAAAGTCAGAGAGACAGGAAGTAGAATGGTGGTTGCCAGGAACTGCAGGGAGGGAAGAATGCGGAGCTACTCTTTAATGGGTACAGAGTTTCAGCTGTGGAAGATGAACAAGTTCTGGAGATGGATGATGGTGATGGTTGTACAACAGTGTGAAGTGAGGCTGTCTTGGACAACCCATTTTAAAATCACAACACTGATTCTGAGCACATCCTAACCTTTTCTTGCTTTCCTTTTTTCTGCAACAATGATTGCAAATCCAACACGATATATATTCATGTTCCTTGTGTGTTTATTGTTTGATTCCTATTGCAGAAATGTTAGCAAACTGAGTGGAGGGATTTCTGTGTTTTTGTTTGCTTTATTTCCACTGCTGAATAAATGGGGAGCAATCTATTTGTTGAATGAATAAATGAAAGAACATGATTGAAAACAGACTTCTAGAGAAGACAGAAACAGAAAGAGAAAATGAGAAGATTCCTTTTTTCATTTGGTTTTGTAAACTAATTTCTTCTATACTTAGATATGAATTTGACCCCAGTGTTCATGGTGGCTTTTGTTCTGTTTACCTTTTCATATGTATTCTGACCTCTTTCCACTATGGAAGTGTTGGTGTACACATGCACCATATTTACTATTATTTAAAGCTCTTGCTCTGAACTCAAAGCCTCGAGTATTCCTTGTATTCCTTATATTCCTGACTGCTCCCTTCCAGAGTTGCAGGGCTGCTTGAATTAGAAAATCAGTAACTCTGGGGAAGCTCAGCTCTCCAAAAAGGTTTATACTTGTTTGTTTGGGAGCCACTGGTTTGATTGGCTCTGGAGTTTTCATTGTCTGTAAATTTTAAGGAGGACGAGAGAATTTATACACTTTGGGAGGAAGGAGCTGTGCTTGGACACAGAGGATTGGTGTAATCTCTGGAGATGTTGCATTTAAAGTCCACTTCTCTGAAACTTTGAGAACTTGAAAATAATTATTGAACAGACTCATTAGCCTTCCTCTCAAGTCTCTATCAAACTTCTTACAAAGCAACTGGTATCCAAACTATTTTTGAAGTTATTTAGGAGGAGCTACAAGGCCAATTTCCTGATGGCAGGAGTGTTAACACCCATCCATAGGAACTAGAGAAATTTACTGCCTTGGAAAAATGTTTTGAAAAGGAAAGGTCCATAGTGAGGGCAATACACTTCTCAGAGACAGAGGAGTGACACAATGACTTCCAGGACAAAAGAGAGCGGGTGTAGCTGGCTGGGAAAGCAAGACAGTGTGCAATTTAGTGGGTGGATTGTTGGATTTGACAGGAGTTCTTCTTGACCACATGGGATGGAACTTTTGTTTTGGAGTTTGGAGGGAGCTCAGAGACTAAGAGAAATGCAGGGAGGAGGAGAGAGGGAAGGGGGAGTCTGGGGCATTATGGAATTCATACAAGCTGTCTTCATGTTCCCTGGCCCCTGTCTGCATTTCTTTAAGCATCTCCCCTGAGCAAGCACAATCTTTGGAAGAGACCGTTTCCTAAATAAACTGACAGTCATAGACCCAGGGCCCTCCTTAGGAAATGTCCTCAGAAAGTGCACTTGAAATAAATGATGGTGCATGTTCTAGTCTCCTATTTATATCTCTGTTTGGCCCTTTCACTCTTTTTATAAATAAACTTTAAAAAATCTTCTAGGAATATCAAGATATAGTAGTCAATCAATTCATCTATGTATTCATTTTCTCTGTCCTAAATGCCTCTTTTGTTTGCTTGCTACAATTATGAGCAGATCCGTGTCCTGTGTAGTGAGGGTTGGAGATGGGAATGTGGAATCTAGAATGAGGAGGCATACAGATCCTGGTCCAGCCCTTGGAAGCTTTTAGACTATAAAGGAATTTAAGTGACAAACCCAGGACACCACCAGACAGAAAGGGAAAATTAGTTTCAGCTGAACATCAGGACAGGCTGTGAGTGCTGGTGGGAAGGGGAGGAAGGTTGGAGATGGGGATCAGTCTGGATGGCTTAGGAAAGTTTTCCTAGATGGGGAGGAGGAAGGTTGTAGAATAGTGTTGAGAAGAGCTAGAGAGTCAAGATTGGGCAGAAAGGAGTGAGGAGGGCATCCCTGGCAGGACAGGTACTTACACAGGCCACAGGCTCATCCCAGGAATGGTAAGTCAGGATGTGAGGAGCTGAGTTAGGAAGGAGGTAATGGGCCTGAAGGTTGGGGTAGAATTAGGGCAGGGCTCTGACAGCTGGGTCAGAGAGGCTGGACTGAATATAAACCATTGGAACAATCATAGATTATTGCACGAAGAAAGGTCATTTCTGAACATGGCATTTGAGGATGATGTTTCTCTGTGTTGTTACGAGCTGGATTTGTGGTAGTCTCCCTCAGGATTCCCAATCATCGGTTTGCTTTTTCTTCTGTAATTTTGCTTGTTCATTTGTTTGTTCTGCCTGCTTCTGTTGGAGTCATAAAATATGATTATTTAATTCCCAGATGTTCCATTCTTTAGGTTGTTTCTGTGGTATCTTCATATTCTGTAGGCCCAATGTCCCTTATCTTCAGTAAAAGTGGGAAGAGCATAAGGACCTGCACAACATAGTTGAGAGAAACAGAAATTATCAAAAGCATTACCCATCTCTGACCCTGCCATTCAGATGGTCCTCCTCCAGGATTCCTGCTCAGGGTCCATGATGGAGTAAATAAGGAGTCTAGATGGATTTGTAGACAGAAGGTCTGACCCATAACCCAAAGGTTCCTTTTGATCATATATAGAGAAGACTTTTCAATTTTGACTTGATCTTTCTGTCTTTAAAAACCTCTGACAACATTTCCTAAAATTCTCTCAGACCAAAGGCTGAGTAGGAAGGACAGTGAGGGCTGCATGACTTTGTGTTCTCTGTTCTCCACTACTCATTTCTGGGGCATTGCTGTGAATTGTTCAACAACAGCCTTGCTCCCCTTGAGGACGGGAAAATTTGAATTGCAGCAGGGGAGGAGGGGGAAGGAGGATCCACATGCAGGGTTTGTTCATTAAGCAAATAGAGTTGATATATTCAGACAATGGTTTGTGGGAGTTAAAAAAAAAACTCCTTGTGAAAAATTAACAGACAGGGTGGGGTGACATTCAGTGGCCATCCGGGGCGACGGACCTTCCAGCTTGGAACCATGGCCCAGTTTGTCCGTAACCTCGAGGAGAAGGCCCCAGCGCTGGTGAACGCTACTGTGACTTACTCAAAGCCTCAACTGGCCACATTTTGGCACTATGCCAGGGTTGAGCTGGTTCCTCCAACCCCTGTTGAGATCCCTACAGCTATTCAGAGCTTGAAAAAAATAGTCAAGAGTGCTCAGACTGGTAGCTTCAAACAGCTCACAGTTAAGGAAGCTCTGCTGAATGGTTTGGTGGCCACCGAGGTGTGGACATGGTTTTATGTCGGCGAGATCATAGGCAAACGTGGCATCATTGGCTATAATGTTTGAAGGCTAATCTTTAACATCTGTTTATATGTGACTTATTATTTGAGTGTTCTTGGACCATGTGTGATCAGACTGGTATTTGAATAAAAGAAGATAATGTATCAAAAAAAAAATTTAACAGATAGTTACAAGTGAATATCTTGTAGGGCAGATTCTCCAGGCCCTGGCAGCTGACGTCCCAGATGGCTCAGGATGTGTAGAGAGCACAGTGTGGCCAGTGAGGAGACTGTCTGCAGAAGTGCGCTCACCTTCTCTCCTGGAACCCAGAGAGGGAGGGGACAGAAGGAATTGTCTTGGTTGTGAACTACTGAGCTAGGTGACTCATTTCTTTTCTCCCTACCCATCACACTTTCTCTTCATACCCATCACACTTTCATAAAAAAAGTTAGTGAATTTTTACCTGGTTGCTTTGGGTGAGGTGTACTGAATGTCAAAATTCACAAAATAGCTTTTCTGGCTCCTCTCCCTTCTCAGTCATGGACCCTGGGTTGGCCGCTGCCCCCATTTCTCCAGTGTTTCCTTCCCAGACAGCCTGGTCCTCTCCTTCTTGCAGGTGGTTATGAAGGTCCTGCCCCTTTCTCCCTCCTCTCTGTTCACAGCGCACCTGTGGGCCTAGGTGGGGAAAGGGAAGGGGTGGACTGTACATTCTTGGTTATCTGCACAGCTGAATGGATGATGCAGACTGAGAAGAAAGAGGGCCACAGTGCCATCTGACCTTGGTTAGCTGATTTTGGGACTAAGCGTTTTAAGACCGGTGGACCAATATTTGTATTTTAAACTCAGATGATATTTAAAAAATGGGTCTGTAGGGGCGCCTGGGTGGTTCAGTCGTTAAGCATCTGCCTTTGACTCAGGTCATGATCTCAGGGTCCTGGGATCGAGCCCCGCATCGGGCTCCCTGCTCTGCGGGGAGCCTGCTTCTCCCTCTCCCACTCCCGCTGCTTGTGTTCCCTCTCTCACTGGGTCTCTCTCTGTCAAATAAATAAATAAAGTCTTAAAAAAAAAAGGGTCTGTAATTGCAACAAGGCCCACTAGTTCCATGAATTCATGTGTCATAACTCATGCTCAAGCACCACACACGCATCTTGTATGAATTACGGCACAATACATTCATGTCCTGCTGTGTCTTACAGCTTTAATTAGTACATGAAGCTACATGATTATTCCATGTGGTGTATAAAAAAGGAGAATGTTGGGACGTATTTGGTCCTTTTTCTGGGGTGGGGAAAGCAAGGTTGATCTTTCTATGATGTCCTTTGGTGTCATTTTCTGGGATATTTGGGCTGCAACAGGTGACATGTTATTTCTGAGTTTTGGTTGGTGGGTTGAATAATAGGTTCAGTAAATATTTATTATTTACCATGTCTTAGGCATTATGGAGGGAGAGCACATACCAGAAGAAATATAATGCAATAGCTTTGAAGTCTGCACAACCAATCGAGGCATCCTCAACCCAACTTGGCTTAACTCAGCTCACTGAATCTGATTTGAGACTTAAGGATCCCTAGGCTTGATACAGCTCTTTGTAGCTCTTTGCAGCTCTTCACAGCTCCTAGGATCTTCCTAAATCCCAGCTAGAATGCTGCGTCAAGCACTTCACAGATTTGGTCAAAAGCTGGCGCACAGACCTACACTGCAACAACCTGGGGCTGAGCCTGCCCCTGCCAGAAGACTGAGCGCTCTGGATTTAGTGGCCCTGGGTGTGGGCCGCACACTGTGTGCAGGTGTGTGTATTCTGGCTGGTGAGGTGGCTAGGGATCAAGCAGGACCATCGATTGTGATCTGCTTGTTGGTGGCGGGCCTATTTTCTTCACTGGCTGTGCTGTGCTATGCAGAGTTTAGTGCCCGGCTTCCCCATTCTGGCTCTGTGTATCTCTACAGTTATGTCACTGTAGGTGAACTTGGGGCTTTCATCACTGGCTGGATCCTCATCCTCAACAATGTTGCTGGATTAGCCATTAGGATCTGGGCCTGGACCTTAGCTTCGGACAACCTTTTTGGAAAGAAGATCTCTCAGACCTTCCAGGAGACCATTTCACCACATGTTCCTGGTGTCTTTGCAGAAATTCTAGGCTTCTTTGTTATGTTCCTTGTGTTACTGCTCTTGGAATTGCTTACTCGGAACGTTAGGCAGCTTTCCCTGATTACCAAAGTGGTCACAGCGGTGCACCTTTTGGTTCTCAGTTTTGTTATCATCTCTGGCTTCATGAAGGGGGACCTGCACAAATGGAAGCTTACAGAAGAGGACTACGTACAGGCTGGACTCAATGACACCTCTGGCTTGGGCCCTCTGGGCTATGGAGGATTTGTGCCTTTTGGCTTCCAGGGGATTCTCCGCGGAACAGCTACCTGTATATATGCTTTTACAGGTCTCAGCATTATTATTACCAGAGTCAAAGTAGCCCAGACTCTCCGGCATTCCATTCCCATGTTCATTGTGATTTCACTGCTCATCTGCATTTTGGTGTATTTTGGTGTCTTTTTGGTGCCTTACTACCAACTTCGACCTGGGAGCACCTTGCCTGAGGCATTTCTCCATATTGGCTGGGCCCCTGCCTACTATGTTGTAACTTTTGCATTCCTCTGTAGTCTTTCTGTCAGCCTCTTGGGCTTTATGTTCCCCATACATCAACTGATCTCCATGTTGGCACAGGATGCCCTCCTGTTCCCTGTCCTTGCCAGGATCCAAACCAGCATATACACGCCCATTGTGGTCACTGTGATCTTTGGCATTTTTGCAGCAATCACAGTATTCTTGTTTGGATTCGCTGATCTCCTGGACCTCATGTCAGTTGGGGCCTTGCTAGCTTACTCTCTGCTGGCTTTTAGTGTTCTCATCCTCAGGTATGAGCCTGAGAGGAAGAATGGGGGAAATGAAGCAGAGGTGCAGGAGGAGAATGAGGGAAATGAAACAGAGGTGCAGGAGGAGAATGAGGGAAATGAAGCAGAGGTACAGGAGGAGAATGAGAGAAATGAGGCACAGGTGCAGGAGGAGAATGGACCTGCAGCAGAGAAGCTGACTCTACAGGGACTATTCTTTCCAGGCAGCCCCAACCCCACTCCGCTCTCTGGCCAGATTGTTGTTGTTTGCTCCTCACTGCTTGCTCTGCTGCTGACTCTTCTCTGCCTGGTGCTGGCCCAGTGGCCAGGTCTGCTCTCTGGAGACCCAGTGCCGATCACAGTGGTTGTGCTGCTCCTAGTGCTCATCTCTGGAGACAGCCACAGAGCTCCACTCCTCTTCACTTTAAGGTCCCTGCTGTGCCTCTCCTCCCACTCCTGAGCATCTTTGTGAATGTTTGCCTTATGATGCAGATGACAGCTGCCACCTGGGCCCGATTTGGTGTCTGGATGCTGATTGGGTTTGCTCTCTACTTCGGCTATGGGATCCGGCACAGCCTGGTTGCACAAGCCCACTTCAGTTAGGGCCCAAACTGTAGACTTTGAACTCAGTAGTGCCAGTCTGTATTTGGTTTGACATCATCACACCTGAAAGCACTTTAGACCCTCTGCTCAATAATGAAGAATATTCTCAAAGTCACAGTTAGGGGTGGGTGGAGAGAAGCCAGAAATAGTACTCTGCTCAGCGGTGCTCAAACTTCAGCAGACATCACCTCACCTGGAGGACTTCTGAAAACAGATTACTGGGCCCTGCCCCCAGTGTTTGAAATTCACTAGGTCTGAGTGGGGCTCAGAATTTCTACTTCTAACAAGTTCCCAGGTGATGCTGATGTTGCCGGTCCAGGGACCACACTTTGAAAACCAGAGCTCCAGCTAAAGCCTCTCCGAATGTAAAGATGGAGGGAAACAAAGGTGCCCTTTTAACACTTATCTTCATTTAATGGAACACTTAGATTAAAATATCATGGTTAATCCTTTCACAGTGGGGAAATCATAGTGAATCACTTTATAATGTATATGCATATCAAACCACCACAGTATATACTTTATATTATCTTACAGTTTTATATGTCAGGTGGACCTCAATAAAGCTGAAATAAAAAAATAAAATACCACAGTTATCTGAGTGTCTTTATTTTCTTTATTTTGTTCCCTGATTGTAGACCACAGGTAAGGAGTGTATCTTGTTCACATTTCCAGAGCATCCAGCTGGGGGCCAGGCATATAATGAGCATTTAATAAATTTATGTTAAATTGAATTGAGCCTCACACATTTCTTTGGTACAGAAAATTCTCCTTCCTTTTAGGCTAGCACTGTGCTTCTCCTTTAAAACTATCTTCTGAGAGACCTCCTTGATAAACAGTATTTCTCTCCATCCAGAACTGTCTGTACCCAACATCTAGAACTGTACCCAGGCACTTCTAATTTTGCCTTTGTTTGGTTATGCCTGAGTTCCTTTGACTATCCTGTCTTTTCCATCAGAGTGGAATCTTGCTCAGGGCAAAGAGTAAGTTCTCCCCTTCCTCTAGACTCAACCTTAAGAACAGTGCTGTTCATTCAAAGAGCAACAGGAAAAACACAGCCCTGGGTCAGGAGAGCACCTGAAAGGACCTCCCTTGGTTCAGCTCCATCTATTCCCCTGCAATCTGGGGAGGGGCCAGAAGTAGTGAAAGTCACAGAAGGCCCAACCTGCTGACTCCAGGGAATCCCTGAAGAGGAGACTGGCTCCAGCGTGGGCACAACAGGCACCCTTCTTGATGCCAGTTTTATGCTTTGGTATAAGAGGGCCAGTGTTTTTCTATTGCATTTATGTATGGGGCCTGCCCCAGGAGGGAGGGATAGGAAGCTACTTTCTTACTTGTGGAATTTCTCATGTTCCCAACAAGGATTAGGTGACTCCAGAGGCAGGATTACCCATATACTTACCCAATCCTTTAGGTGTTTTTTGAGGGACCGATGCAAAAACCTTGTGACAGCATCTAAGATCATTTAGGGAGAGAGAATTTACACCCCAGATGGAGAGAAAAACCCACTTAAATAGGAGGAATTGATGACTAGATAGGGATTGAGGCATCATTACTCTGGAAGGGAAGGTATGAGTAGAAACTGAGAAAGAGGTATTGGTCAAGAGAGACTTCATGGAGGAGGATGCCTATGGAGCCATTTGGGAAATAAAAGAGAGAGAGGTGAGTTAGAAAAGAAAAGGGGACAGTA